AAAGACCACACAATAAAGCTTTTCAAATTGCAATGCTTATTACAATGAACAAATGCAAGTTCCACATTGAATCGTGACTGAACTGACGATAGCTGCGAAAAACGCAACCGTTTTGAGAGTTCATGAAGTTGAAAATCCGGCGTAGTACATGTAAACACTAGTTTCCCTTTTTTGTTGTACAGTGCATGGAAAAAAACAAGAGAGACGAAACCAAATCATTTGACTTTTTAATTGTCTGTTCTTTCGAGGTTTCTACTTGGTAGGTTGGTGCTAAGTTAAATATCAACACAATTACATTTTGTAAATTGCTGTGTTTTCGTATAACTTTTGTTCGAGAATACATTCATTACACGTGATAGACACGAACAAGCGAAGGAAAGAAAACTAAGTATATAATCCGCCTTAAAGATTTGTGTCCAATTCTTAAACTGTCAGGTCGTTTCGTGCTCTAATGGAAAAATCTACTCATTTCAAGACATAAACACCACGCTACCAAAATAGCCCGTGTCCAGCCTTCCACGTTCAAGTTTTCTTAACTAGGGGCATGAACATATTATAACAAATATAACACAACTACTCTAAAATATCAACCGCATCAGTAGACCCTCAGGCTTAACGAAATAAAACAAACAACAAAAAAATTCACCTGAATATGATTTCATGCTCTATGTTTTTCTTCTACCTCAAGTTAGTTTAAATCTACTAGCTATCACGAATGCTGCTCTCTGATTGGCTACACTACTTACTAGTGGACAGATTGTAGATTTATACTATAACAATTAGATTACTTGCTCTCGATTTCTCTGCATGATGGTTTCTTCGAGCTTCGCCCTCGTCAGCTATCACGCGATAGAAATCTCGAGCTCACAATGTAATCGCTAATCAAAATTTAACCCTGACGAGGATGGTCTATAGAGTTTAAATTAAACCCTGGAATTATAATTTATACATGTCAAATATTTTCCTTGGTATTATGATCTCTGCTGATATAGAGCGTTAGCAATGCAATATATTTTGCTCAAGCCTTACTGTACAGAGTATTAACATCTTTTAAAACATTTTTTTCCAACATAAATACTTAGTTAGAAAAAAAAATTACGTCATCAAATGTAAAACAAGGTAATAAATTAATGACGTTAATTTGGATTAAATTATTAGTTACATTTGCATATCAAACTAATACTGGGTAATAATGCTTCCAGATACTCTCGCAGTTTACTGCTTTACACTTCAAAGATTATCATTCAACTCTTTACCTGCTAATATTAACACCAAACAGCAAACACATAATCATCTTTTCAACTCACATAAAGCGAAATAACACATTTTTTTCTAAAACAATAAAAAAATCTTGTCTCAATTTCTTTTGTTTTTCGTTTAATTTATTAAAAAACAAATATCCTCTTCTGGATATGAAGCTGCCAACTGGTAATTATCATATTAATATGAAACCATTCTGGGAGACTCAACAAACCTGACAACAGACTTTCCAGAGCAGAAAAAGATTCCTTTTTTTTGTTCACTCTTTTCCTGCCCTTGTGTGCAAGTTAGTTGATGGTGGTTAGCATACTATTCGCAACAGTACCTTTCACACTCGCTGAATAAGAGATGGAGAAATGCGACCGTGCTGGAGTGAGTTGGAAGTGTAAAATATAGGAAATGGGACGGAGGGGAGGTGCAAAGCGCAGTACTTAGCATGTAGAAGCAAGCAAGAAGGAGAGACATCATAATGCGGCCAACATTCAAAAGGATTCTTACGCGAACTGGGCTGAATTGAGATGCAGAGCTCTTATTTATATTCGCTTAGTAAGGGACTGATGCCAATAGGAAGACCTTAAAATTCTCACTGCATATGTTATACGTTCCTCTCCCACACGGCTTCCCATAAAGAGGACTGGGTATGAATGTGCTCTTTACTGTCAAAATTCTCAAGCATTTTGAGACCTAGCAGAAATAATATTATATTAATTGTAAGTCTTAATTATTCTAGATTATTTCCTTCACTTGAGTGAAGCAACTAGAATCTCCATTCAAGTAGGTGTGTTTGAAGTCCTTTGTTTCACCGTTGATATAGCCATTCTTCTTCATTCCGTTCTCCAGGTGAGACCTAATGTCTGTGTGTCTGTTCTGCATCAGGGGCTGGTGTACTTCTCTTGAATGCTTGTGTTCCAGCATCATGTGGTTTTGTGGCTTCAAACCAACACATGCCCTGCAATCACATTTCAGAATGTTAATCACTTCTTTCTAGCATGTTTAGTTAGTCATTCTTCATCATTTTGACTGAAAAGGGTGGGGGTGGGGATGGGGGGGTGGGTGGGTGGAAGTGACCAGATCATGACCCAAGCTAAATAGAATGATCATCAACCTTCTCAGCTCACAACCTTTCACTGAATCATAATTCATTGCAAACTAAACTAAAAAGTCAATGACAATATCCACTCTATCCCATAAGCCCCTTGAACTGAACAATGAATACCTTTCATTTGATATTATTTTGAAAAAGCTATAATGGGGACATTCCATGGAACCAAGATTTACTAGCCTGACTGTAGAGTGTAGACATTTATTTTTTTTGAATAAAAGGAACTAGGAGACATCTGCATGCAAGCTAAGAGTCACAAGATTCTTGACTTTTCCAGGCTGCTGTTTTACAATCAACTTACCTAAAAACATTTTCGATACAACTTCTTTGCTTGAAGAGAGCATTAACAACCGGAGTGCCGTCAGGAACTAAAGGTGCTTTGAGAAGGTAGCTGAGAAGAGAGAGCACTGGATGAAACGATTGGAATTCATGATCATCTCCAACTTTAAACTTGATTCGCTCACAGATCTCACACAGGATAACCAGGTCCAGGATAATTGGTGCAGCCAATAAGGAGTCCTGTGGATAGATCAGTTAAGAAAAGTTTAAGTGGTAGGAAAGAAAAACACTCCTCGATTTTAACGTATTTTGCAACTAATGCTTGCAAAGTTCTTCCTTTTAAAATCAAGGCTGTGGCCTAACAAAAATTCTGAGGAACCCAAAGGTTCCTCACCATAAAATCCTGTGTGCCCAGCACTTAAGTTTGCATGAAAAAAAGTAAGTTTTCCAGTCGCCCTGAGGCAATAGTTAGTGGCCTGTAGCACCCTGGTGCTTCTAGAGCCCAGCCTGTAAAATCAACCAACCAATATCCAGAATTTCAGGATTGCCAGGGTTCAAATAACCTCCTACACAGTCACTCTTTGTCGTGGGGAAGAGAGATGGTGTAGCAAGCCCAAAGAGCCTCTGCAAAGGATGTCTAATTCATACATGTAGTTGCCACACACATCACTTTAAAAAATTCCCAACTTTTCCCTAATACACTGTAAAAATAAATTTCCCCAACTAAATAAGAGCAAAATGTCAGATACAGAAGCAGTCTCCAGCCTCCACTAATGACCATCCTTTATCAATCACCCATTCAAAACTGAAAAGTTTTCAACAAATTTGTTTTCTCTATTATGGAAACATCATTGAGATCAAAGTACCGGTAATCTGAAAAGTTTCTTCCAGCCTTCAGTGGAATTTGATCAACAATGTTTAATAATTTCCCTAACTTTTGCTCAAATTGCCCATTTTCCCTGATTCAAAATAAAATCCCTTGCATTTTTCCTGACAGTGGGGAATTTAACCACGACATTTCCCGAGCTGTGGCAAGCCCATCTTTTTTCAAAAATTTCAATCCATTCTATTTCTCAATTCTCTGCATGGAAATTCCCACTAGCCACCCAAGACAAAGACAAAACTAGTTAAGAGCTTTTGGCTCTTAACTTGGTGTAGAAGACACAGCTGACGTAAAACAATAGAGAACAAAAGGACAAAAGAACTAGAAAAACAGTGAAAACAATAAGTTTGTGGGGCAGTGTTCTTTTGTGACATGACAGTTTTTGTGTCTTGTACAGCTTGAACCAAAGTTTGAGGATTGCTTTGTACATTAACTCAATTTCCAGTTCTTTTCCTGCGTCTTTCCCTGCTAATTTTGAATGAGTCCCAAGATGCATACCTCACAAGTGTTATGTAGCACAATGGTGTTGAGTCCATGCATAAATATCTCTGATGTGTACTCATCCATCGCTCGCTTGCTGTCCCCTACATATGGAACGTACTTAATAACCACGCAGTGGTCAGGTTTCTCGCCTTTCTCATAGAGAATGCGGTTTGATTCCACCATGTCATCTACCACATTGCTCTTGGAAATCTGTAACAAGATTAGATAAAAAAAAACCATGCCATAGATGTAGATAAAACACTTCATCATAATAATTATAAGAGGAAACTATTCTAAGCCCACCACACTACATGTGCGGTTCTGTTCGGTGATCTTTGCGAATCATTTGCAGTGTGTTAGTGAATCTTTGCGCATTCAGGTCAATAATTCAGAAAACCCTTTTTGGTTTGTTAACCAACAAGTGTCGATTCAGGTCTATCTAGTGAATTCCAGGGACAAGGGTTTTGTTAAGGGCCAGGTACTGGGAAAATTGAGTGACTGTGAGGAAGATTTTGCCCAGGGCTGGTTTGACCATCTGAAGTTGTGGTTTTCTTATAAAGAAGTTCGGTTCAAAACGTTTTGCCAGCCTGTAAAAACCAGTTGCCCTCTGACTGAAAATGCTAATGAAACCCCTAGCGAGATAACTAAGACTTGATACAGGAACCACTGTAAGATAATGAACAGACAATAAACAGAGTTGCAGGGTGATGTTTACCTCTTTTGATCTAAACTGCTTTGGTGCTGACAAGTTTTTGCCATCGTTGTTTCCAAGATGGTTGTAGCTAACAATGGAAACAGGCTGCAATTGAACCAAACCATCTGTCAGTAATTCTAATGCAAGGAATGAAAATCTGAAATACATCACATTACACAAATCATGGGACAAAATGGTTCAGATGACTACGAAACTTTGTTGTACTTTAAATCACACACCTTCAGGCCAGCACTAACTAAGAAGTCAACAAGCACAGATTTCATTTTTGTCTGTCCGGATTTGAAGTCATCACCACCGATGAAGGTTCCATGCTTCTTTGCAAGTTCAACAACTCCTGGGACATTGGTGTTTTGTGGCGAGCCATTTATGTAGGAACACTGTAACACAAAATTGTACAGGTGTACATTATAGTTTTGATTGATAGTCATAAACCACTGGTGATCATTGTGTCAAATCTCAAAGAGAACACTGTGCTGTGCAGAACATGTATTTAGACTTAAATAACTTAATTTATTAAATGCCATTGGACCAGTGGTCATTGCGCCCATCAAGCCCCAGTTGTCCGAAGGCTGGATAATGCTATCCACCGGATACTGCAATCCACTTTTCGAACGGATTGAGCCAGATGTATACTGATTCTGCCAGGACATAGATACTGACAAAAATACATGTATATGCTTTCAATTCTTTCAAACACAGTGGGACCTCATTAATCCGGTCACCAAAAGGCCACAAAAGTCAGGCCATATCAACAAGGTGGCCATATATATAATGGGTCCTTTAAATGAGAAAATGACTGACTGAGCTTTTGTTTGGACCAGAATAACAGAATAAAGTGGCCGTAATAACGAGGTGGCTGTAAGGTGAGGTTCCACTGTATAACTTTGTGTTATGCATTTACATCCAGTCATTCATTTTATGCATGACATGAAGGTTATAAAACAGTGGGCAGTGGAACTAGCTACTTTGGAAGTGTCATGATTGTCTGCGAGAGAAGTCACATTGTACCTTTTCTAAGATGCTGGCAACAGCGAAGATCGACGATGGAGACACTTCCTCTTCATTCCTTGCGATAGAGCTCAACAGGTTTTCAGCAGTGTCATTTAGACCTTCACTAACATCACAGAACCTCTCAGTATTTGCTGTCCATAAAACAATAACCTGCAAGGGACAGGACATCGGCCACTGTCAGACCAAATGCATGAAATTGCTTGACTAATTCTACATGATCTGACATTATGATGGAGCACCAAAATGACTAATTGTAGCTTAACTTACTGTAGTCAAAAATCACAATCGTCATATGGATCTGTGGTTTGTTTCACTTTAATAGCCTCCCCAGACTTGCATAAAATGTGACACACACATCTGCTTTGAAAATCATCCCACCATGCATTGGTTAGCATACCAATTGAAGGGGTGAGTGCAAAACCATGCTAAGTGAC